TCGTTCTGGGTTCTCGTTACAACTGGGTTGACCACACATACAACAGTTTCCAGTCCACAAAAATGGTAATAAGCAAAATGTAACAAATTATAGACCTATTTCATTGCTACCACAGTTTTCTAAAATCCTGGAAAAAATATTCATAAAAAGGCTGGACTCCTTTCTTAATAAAAACAATATATTAAATGAACACCAGTACGGCTTTAGAAACAACTACTCCACAACTTTAGCTGTGTGGAGTTTGTGGAACACGTTGCTGCAGCAGTTGATCGGAAACTTAATACAGTGGGAGTGTTCATTGATTTAAGTAAGGCGTTTGACACTATTGACCATGAACGACTACTGTGGAAATGTGAACAATATGGCTTACGGGTGGTTACACATCAGTGGTTAAAGAGTTACTTGAGTAATAGATTACAATATGTACAAATTAACAATACAAAGTTACAAACTGAAACTATAAAATGTGGTCTTCCTCAAGGCTCGGTTCTAGGACCTAAATTATTTATACTTTATGTGAACGATATTTTTACAGTATCCAATATTTTGAAATTTATAATGTTTGCTGATGATACAAATTTTTTTCTTTCTGGAAAGAATATGGATGAACTAATACAAATAGTAGAAAAAGAGCTAGCTGAGTTAAAAAAGTGGTTTGATTACAATAAGTTATCATTAAATGGACAAAAAACAAAATTTATGGTATTTTCTGGTAATCGGATTTACAATAATGTAAAGTTACATTTAAATGGAGTTGAAATCGACAGAGTTTATGAGACAAAGTTTTTAGGTATCATTCTGGATAACAAACTTAGTTGGAAGCCTTATTGAATATATTAGAAATAAAGTTTCAAAAACTGTTGGAATATTGTTTAAAATAAAAGAGTTAATAAATGTAAAAGGCTTGCATATTATATACTCTTCTTTGGTTATGCCCTATTTATCATACTGTGCAGAAATATGGGGAAATGCTAATAAAACAACTATTGACATATTAGTAAAGTTACAAAAAAAAGCAATTAGGCTTATTAATAAAGTGGGATATTGTGAACCAACTAATAAACTTTTTATTCAAAGTAACACCTTAAAAGTTAATGACATTGTAAATATAAAAATACTGGAAATAATGTATAAAGCAGTGAATAAAAGTCTTCCTTCTGGAATTCAGAAATTATTTAAGTTAAGGGAGAGTAATTATAATTTACGAGGTCTATTAATATTTGAACAAGCTAAAGAGAAAAGTAAAGTAAAATCTAGATGCATTTCAGTTGTCGGTGTGAAATTGTGGAATGAATTGAATGATGAACTCAAATTATGTGCTTTTTTGTTGAGCTTTAAAAGGTCCATAAAAGGTAAAATTATAAAAGCTTATACTGGTGAAGATTCTCAGTCATCCAGGACATGATGAATTCAAAAAGCGTTCAATACAAGAATAAAGTCCAGTTGTTTTTGTATTGAACGCTTTTTGAAAAGCTTATACTGTTATGTAGATGTATATATGTAGTGTTTAACAATGTATGTATGTAATGTAAGTATGCTTATACATATACACAGACATATTTTTTATATAGATATGTGTATATGTAATGTATGTATATATATGGACAGTAGATATATTTTATTATTGAAGACTGCTGAGTCTATGAACAGGGTAGGCAAGTATAAGCCTCGGCTTCAGCCTATTCCTTTTTTGGTAAATTATTGATTTGTCAAAAAGTAGTCTATATTGTTTTCCTTTTTCTGTAATGCTAATTTACCAAAATAAAGTTGAGTTGAGTTGATTTATTGCTTTGCATTTTATACAATGTAGAACAAGTTTTCTAATAAAAAAAGTTCAAACGTCACATTTTGCCACATTAAATGAGGAATAAAGTGCCAAAGAGAAAATGAAGAGTTTATAATGGCAGTTATAGATACATTTATGTACACAGCAGCCATATTAGATTTTGAGATTGGGGCTGGTTTGAGACTTCCAACGTTCCAAATTTGAATTTTAACTTCAGGGAGCAATCCAGATTTGTTTGATTTGGAACTAAGAAAATTCAGCTTCTGAGTACAAAATGAAATACTATTTATTCACTTTTTCTCTAAACTGAGGTGATTCAAAGAGTGTTCAAATACTTATTTGCAGCAGTAACACAAATAAATTATTATTTTTTAAAAATCATACATCGTTATTTCAGGATTTTAATTTTTTTTATGTCTCTCACAGTAGACATGCACCTAAGATGAAATTTTCAGACCTCGCCATGCTTTCTAAGTGGGAGAACTTGCAAAGTCGCAGGATGTTCAAATACTTATTTTCCTCACTGTAGCTGTCGCAGCGAGTTGCATCAGCTTCAGCAGTCTCTACTATTCCACTCACATTCTTCATACGTTCTGCTTTCAGTGTAGATCTAGAGCGAGGCGTGATACCAACCTGCTGTTTTTATTTCCTGTGGGTTTTTTAATTCTGTCTCTGTCAGCAGCACAGCAAGCTGCAGCAGCCTCTTTAATTTCTTCATCCTGATGGTGATCCAGCCCAGCACTAAAATGTAATCACTTGTTTTTTTGTGACAACATCAACATTTCCTGATAATTTCATGAAAATCCATTTATAACTTTTTGAGTAGTCTTGTGCACAGACAGACCGACTAACGTGACCGAAAACAGACCCTCCTTGATGGAGGTAGTAAAGTGTCATATTGGGTCATAGCTCTCATCGTCAAACAAATGCTTGTACAGTAGTTCCTCGTTTATTCCAGGGATCTGTACCCTGAAGACCTGCCATTAGTGAAAAATTGGGAAGTAGGAATAGTAGGACTAGTAGTAGTAGTTTATTTTAGTATATACATACATAT